CTAGCTAGCCTTCAGTCGTGTTGGCTAAATGCCTTTGATTGGCCCCATTGCTCCGCCTTTATTCATCTGACTTTTAATAACCATGTAGCATTTTTTTTTTTACTTTGAATTTTCATTTCTGATGTGATGACTCAGGCAAGCACCAAGTGGGACACTTACCTCTGAAGTCCACAGAAGTTAGGTTTCGGGTCTGTTGAAATGGAGGTACTGCTCGATAGAAAGCCCAGTCAAGCCTCGGCCCTTCATTGAGAGCGTGAGCTGATTAAGATGCAGAGGAGACACTGCTATGAAATTGTGGAGTGGAGATTTCCGTGGAAAATGTCAGGTGTTGTTTGTTTGTTTTCACAAAATAACTCAAAATAGCTGTGAAGAGTCCATTTTATCATGGAGTTTTGTTGAATTATAGAGCTTTAGTTAGGATATGGAGACTCTTAGTCTTTCAAATAAATTTTTTCGAAATGTGCATCTTTCAGTTAATTTACAAACTAAGTTAGATTGTAGTTCATTACGTAAGGATTCAAAATTTCGAAGTGTTCTCAGGCCAATTTTAGTTGAATTTAAGAACTATAAAATAAAAGCAGACTAACAAAGCAGGTTATGTGTTCTGTCTCACCCGCGGGCACCTTCGTCCCTGGAGTCTTGAACACCAGAGGAGCAGAGCTTTCAGCCAGACTCCAGCCAGACTCTGCAGCAGCATTCCCAGAAATGGGGAATGGTTCATCCAGAAATGAAACAAAGCAAAACTGTGGGAGAGGTGGAGATTGAAATCAGGGAAAGGAAGTTGGAGAGGTTCTGTTCCTTCTGGGAACTTCGAGAAAGCAGAAGAGGCGGTATGCAAGCTTGTGCTGTTGGCAAGGCGCGCCTCACAGTGGCAGGTGGGCTGTCAGGGGAAGGCCCTCAGAACTGCGCCAAAATGATTTCTTCAAGGTATGATCCCATTCTCTGCGTAATGCAAGATTATTATGTGTTGAATATTTTATGATCTTCATAGAAGGAACTGGAAGCAGTTATGTTCTATTCAAGGGAGATGAGGAACAGCCGGCCACTCTGGTAGATTGTCAGGAGTGCTGAAATAGCTTCGTTAATAAATTCAGAACTGACTTTTTTTCCCAGTGGGCAAGGGGAATTAGTTTAATTTTCCCCAGACAGAATTTGTATTTCTATTAGCAAAAATCACTACTATCAACTTTCTGCTACTTAGCTTTGTGAAATAACGCACGTGTATCACCCCCGAGTCAGTTCATCTTCTAGCATATGTATGAGAGTGGAAGGATTCACATTGCAGTTTTTCCCTACAGCCCTGATTTTACAACTTTTATCTTACTGTATTTCTCATATATCTATCTATGTCTTCGTTCATCAACTGTCCAATTTTTTTTTCAAAAAATTTCATTTCTCCACGTGCTGCGATATGAATGAATGTGGTTATAGGGGCCTCCTTGATTCATCAAGACCTGTGCTTTGATGTTGGACATACCATCCTCCGGAATAAAGAGAAATAAATTTCTTTATGACTTATAAAGTCTTTGGTAATCAGTTATGTTAGCACAAGATGAACCCAAACAGTTTGCCCCCTGTTACTGACATGCCTGCTAAAATCCATGGGTCGCTGCTTTCAGGTCTTTCTGTTATTTAGGCCACAATTGCTCATCATATGAATTTCTATTTTTAGCTTCTTGAAGAACTACCAAGTGGTTTGCCATGACAGTTGTTCCATATTACGTTCCCCCCATTAGTATACAAGGTTTCCAACTTTTCTACTTCCTTTTCAACACTTTCTATTTATACCTTTGATCTATTTCGAGTTAACTTTTATGTATCATATAAGACGACAGTCTGTGTTCACTTTTTGCACGTCGGATGTCCGGCTTGCCCATGCACTAATAGTGACCATAGCTTGAGGGTCCACTTCTGGACTCAGTGCTATTGAGTTGGGCTATAAATCTTTTCCTTAGGCCTAGGCCAAACAATTTTCAAGTTGAAGATTATGAGTCCTCAAAATTGTTGTTCCTTTTTTCAGATTGTTTTGACTATTCTGAATTCCATGGGATTTCATATGAGTTTTAGAATTTCTTCATTTCTACCCAACAAACACACTGATTATTTAATAAAGATTTCATTTAATTTGTATTTGTTTTAGCTAGTGCAGTCATCTTAATAATATTGTGTCTTCTAACACATGAACACTGGGTATCCTTCCATTTATTTAGGTTATTTAGCATTTCTTTGTTAAGTCTGTTTCTTTGAAAAGCAGAGAGAACCTCCCAAGTGCCCAGTACAGTTGATTCTAGCCTATCCCTGAAGTCTGAAATCTGCAACTTCATTCCCGTCTCCTGGCGAGGTTGGATGAGTGGGGAGGAACCCGGGTGCTTGGGCTGTCACTCATTATGCCGTTCCAGAAGGCATCCGGATGGAAGTAGAAAAGCAAAGGCCTGAGCTCCGCAGAGATGCTGCAGTGGGTGGCTCAACTCAGCTCCAGCCGTGCATCCCTGAGCAACATGGATCACTGTCAGCGTACAGATCTTACCTCCTTGACTGTCATTCCTTGCTGTGTTAGTGTTGTTTTTAGATTGCGCATTACTAATTTATACAAATAAATCTGATTTTTGTGTTGATCTTATAGTCACAACTTTGTTAAATTTATTACTTCTAGATGTTTATTAGCTGCCTTAGGGGTTTCTGTGTATAAAGTCTTCTCATGAAAAGAGTTTTACTGTTTTGTTCCAATTGGAGTCTTGTTTATTTTTGTTTGGTTTGGGACATGTTAGTTTTAGGATCCTTATTAGACTTCCGATGACAAGCAGGCTGAGTATTGGAGTCTGAAGGTCAAGGTTAGGCTTGTGTAATGAAATGAAATTGGAAATTGTCAGTGTATGTCTGGAATTTTTTTTAATATAAACTTATTCTGTTTATGGTGTTTGCGTAGTTGAGAAGGATGTGCACACATGTGGACCACTGATCAGGGTGGGCAGGGTCGAGGCAGGGGAAGCGGATGAGACAACTGCTCGCAACCCTTTCATTCCTCCTGTGTCTGGGGAAGGGAAAGCGAAGGGGAGAAGACTGCGCCCAGCAGCCTAACCACATGAGCACCCAGAAATGGCGGAAGGTCACTCCATGTCATCCCTGGGTCCCCACTGTGGAGTATGTTCCTAGGATACTGCTTAAGTGGATTCCATAGAGACGCTGTTGATTTCATTGCTGCAGGCTTGGGGAAATAATTCCAAGGTTCATTGGCTGACGTCATCTGCCCTAGAGTTTCCACTCGCCCAGACACTTGCTGTCAAAGGTTGGCTGGGAGTGTTGTCCAGTTTGTTCTACCATCCGTGGAACTTCTGTCCTGTGCACGCCTCAGTGATCTGTCCTGTCCCCCTTGTGCATCTGGCCATGCTGTGCTCTGCACAGGCTTCAGCAGCCGAGGAGACCCGGTTCTGCCATGTCTGGAATTTAAAGCCACGAGGTTTCCTCAGAAATTAGGTCGGGGATGAGAACAGGTCAAGGAGAGAAGCAGTCCCGAGTCCTGGAGAAGACAGCTAGTATCCTAGAAGTCAAGTTGCAGTCAAGGTGATTTTTTCTGTCTGCGTGCCTTCTTCCTAGAGATGGAAAACTTCTGCATGTGGAACTCCACAAGCTTCTTAGGAAGGGTCTGCGGGACACACTGAGGTGGGTCACATCAGGCGAGGGTGAGGTTGGAGAACAGGATTAGAGTGCAGTGAGGATCTTACATGATGACTAGAGACTCCCAGGTCGGGGAGGGCCTTGCCTCTTGACAGGTGGCACGCAGACCCTGCCGTGCCCACCACATTTCTTCATCTCCAGCCCTCTGAATGCGTCTTGTTCTCTTTTGCTTCACATTGTGTGTTCAAGTCATGAGTGAGCATGCAGTGGTTCATAGTTCTGGCATACAGTGAGTTGCGTTTGTTGAAGTATCCTGTGAAATACTGAAGCACAGGAGTAATATGGTTCAGTTTTGCTTTTAAATATATATGTATATCCACACATAAATGCATGTATTCAAAGAATGAACATATTTTAAAGGACTGAATTGCTAAAGACTAATCATTTCTGGCTGATAGAAGTAGAGTTCATTCATACTGTTATTTTGTATTTTTTTAAAAAATTTATTTATATTTATTACAAAGTCAGATATTCAGATAGGAGGAGAAACAGAGGAAGATCTTCTGTCTGATGATTCACTCCCCAAGTGACCACAATGGCCGGTGCTGTGCTGATCCGAAGCCAGGAGCCAGGAACTTCCTCCAGGTCTCCCACATGGGTGCAGGATTCCAAAGCATTGGGCTGTCCTTGATTGTCCCTCCAAGCAGGGAGCTGGATGGGAAGTGGAACTGCTGGGATTAGAACCAGCGCCCATATGGGATCCTGGCACTTTCAAGGCGAGGACTTTAGCTGCTAGGCCACACCGCCAGGCCCTATTTTGTATTTTCATAGCATTTCCATTTTCTAATGTCAGCGCATCTCACATAAGTGAAATCATCTTTTATTCACATCAGTGTTTGTAATTCCTGGTAAAGTACATTGGATGCTTCTGAGTGTGAGGGTCCGGCTTGGCCCTTGTGCCAGAGGCAGAGGCACTGCTGTGCACTGGTGGTGTCTGGAGTGAGCCTGTGGCTGCGTTTCAAGTGTGGAGTTCCACCTGCAGAGCTGCCACTGTAAACTCTGGTGAAGGGCCACGGTCAGGGGGAGCCAGCCAGGCCGGTGGGTGGCAGGCAGAGCAGAGCTCTGGAGGGCAGTGTGTGTGTGTGCTCTCTGGGCACACGTCTGTGTTATTGTAGATTGGTTCGGTGCTAGCATCTGGATTTCTATCTCTTGTGCTCTTTTTTTCCAGGAATATAAAGGTTTTTTTTTCTTTGATATATGCTTAAATATTTGTTTTTAAGTGATGATAACTTCTCAAAAAATTTGAAAATAAAGTTTATTTCTGTGGGGAAAATATTTTTCATATGTCTGACTGTTTTTTGTTCTTTCTCTTTTGACAACTCTAGCCAACAAGAACATTAGTCATGACAAGCATGCCATCTGAGTAAGTACTCGCTGTTTTGATAACTTTGTATTATTCTCTCATGTCCTGTCACACTGTGGACTTGCAGGCCATTCCTAGTTCTGAACCTTGTTGCTTTTATTCCAAATCCTTAATATCTCAGTTCGAAGATGACTGGAAATGAAGAATGTGTTGAAGTGGAGAGCTCATTGCTAGGCACCCCATGCCCCTTTAGGCAGCAGAAGCAACCCTGGGGCTGTCTTCCCTGCCCCTTGGTGGCCCCCTGAACGCCTCTCTCCACCACTCACACTTCAAGAATGTTCAGGAAGCAGCGCAGTGCTGGTGGGGACGGTACATTACAAATCATCCAATAAAGGGATGGCTGGTGAACAGGGACATATTTTTAAGGTCTGTATTTGCTTCCTAAGTTGGTTGGTTTCTCTTATCCATCAGTCATTTTATTTCCAGCCTAAGTTTACTCTGGAAATTCAAATGAAAGTTAAATCTTGATTCCAGCTTATTTATGATTACTCAGAAACAATAAGGTTTTAGGATGCCTGAATGCCCCCAAATTACTTTTATTTATATTTATTATATAAATTGTGACAGATCAGAATGTTTGGCTATTTTTGTGCAGACAGGGAAGGAAGTTTATGAAAGTGGTAAATACCGTTTTGAAAAGGCTGTTCCGTCAGAAATAATGTACGAAGTTCAAGATAGGCCTATTGAACAAAATTCAGTATTATCTGCTCAGTACTTTACAAATGAAACTTTGTTTTAGAAATTCCCATTTCCCAGGACATATGGACTCATTCATGTGGGTTCCTTTCTGAAGAGCTGTGAGTTTTAAGGTGAAATATGTTCGTAATTCCTGACTTCCTGCTTTCTTGCCCTCTTGATTATGTTAGCTATGATGTGGCAGACACCCCGCCTTTCAATAAACTGAGGAGGGCGGGGAAGGAAACAAACCCATGGCCACTAGGATGGCCAGCTCTAGCCAAAGCTTTTTTTTTTTTTGATCCATTTATTTATTTATTTGTAAGGCAGTTACAGGAGGTCATTCTCCCATCTGCTCCCCCATCCCTGACCCACTCCCCATGTGGCCTCATCGGCCAGGGCTGGGCCAGACTGAAGCCAAGAAACTGAAACCCCATCTGGATCTTCCATGCAGGTGGCCCTGGGACCCGAGCACAGGGGCCACCTTCCACTGCTTTCCCAGGCACATTAGCAGCGAACTGGTTCTGCCCTCTCAGTTGAAGTGAACATTCATAGCCAGTTCATTCCTCATTCAGGAGTTGAACAAGACCCAGGTGTGTGTGTTTAAGGCTGGATTCTTGTCTTGGTCTTTGTTCTGACTGCCCACTAGTTGTTGCACATAGCATGCCCCGCAGACAGCTGGCAGCCGCCAGAAAGACAGAATTGTAGGGACCATTTCCCATGGACACTTTTGGCTTCTTTTTGCTTTGGATTTTAAGTTGGCTTTTCTTTTTTATTTTTATTCCAAATGTATGATTTTCACCATCTCCACTAAGCCTGTACAGCCTGGATGAGATGGTGGGAGCCCTGCATATTGTTCCACTCATTTGTTCCTTATGGGTCTCTAAGGATTTCAAACCAGCCATCTCCCCATTTTACAGATAGGGAAACTGAGGTCTTCAGCCAGACATACTCTTGGGATTAGCAGAGTGGGAGCTGAGCAGCACCTGTGACTGGCAGGACACATGGCAGGGACCCCTGGGCTAGCCTGCCTTCCTTTGTGTGTGACCTCTGGGTGAGAGTCGTTGGTCTCCTCAGGGTGGACCTCCCCGTGCAGCAAGCAAGCTTTCCGTAGCCTTTGTGTTTTGGCAGGAATGTCCAGAACTGGCTGAGAAACACAAGCTTTGCATCAAAGCCATAGTATACTTGTTAGGTTATCAAAGGGAAAGAAAAATAAGAGTTTTTGGAAAGGAATTGAGGCAGAAGTTTTTTTGTCTGGGTTTGCTTTTTATAAAAGGATACTGAAGACAACAAGAGAATGAGCAGCAGGTCAATATTTCGGAGCTTTGTAAAGTTAGGGAGACTGTCCGATCTGCCTGAGAGTTAGTGAGCTAGCAGATTCTCTCCTTAGGTCCCTTAGAAGGAAAGCTGTGTGTGACACTCAGGGAATGCTGTGTTTTCAGAACTCAGTAAGTAGATGGAGTTTTGGTCCTGACTGCAGATGGGCCCATGCCTGCCTGCGATAAATCACGGTGCAGTGCAGTGGGGAAGGCATTGGGGTGTTGTCAGGGCTCGGTTTCTGCCTCAGACTCCAGCCCTGGCCAGCCCAGAAGCCCCCAGGGTAGCCGTTTGCAGCCTCTTGGCCTGCCTTCTCAGTCATTAAAATACATTAGGCAGAGTCCAGAATTCACTGTTATTTTTTTTCTCCGGTTTATTTTTCTTTTTCCCTCCAAATTTCAAACCCTTACTTATAAAGAAATCAAGACTTGAGGGGCAGGAGCAGTAACTCAACTGACTCATTATCTCCCTTGCAGTACCTGTTTACAGATGGACGCCAGCTCATGTCCTGGCTGCTCCACTTCCACTTCAGCTCCCTGCTGGTGGCCTGAGAAAGCAGTGGAGGACGGCCCAAGTCCTTGGGAAGCTGCACCCACTTGGGAGACCTGGAAGAGGCTCCTGACTCCTGGCTCAGCTTCAGCCTTTGTAGTCATTTGGAGAATGAAGCATCAGATGGAAGATCTTTCTCTCTGTCTCTCTAATGTGCCCTTCTGATAAAAATAAATTTTGGGGAAAAAAAAGACATGAGTAGGGTAATCATAATCAGAATTTTCTGCCTCCTCGATATTGTTGCATCCTTCAGGACAGTCATGCTGACGTTTCCGTACAGTGAAACAAACTCATCTTGTCGGTTTGTTTTCCCTCCCGTGTGGCAGGCAACAGAATGTCATCATCCAGGTCGTGAGAAAGCTGAAAGGTTTCACAGTGACAGCTGAGGTCTGTGCCACCACAACCCACGTGCTGGCCGGGCAGCCCCTCCGTACCCTCAACGTGCTGCTGGGCATCGCGCGTGGCTGCTGGATTCTCTCCTATGAGTGGGTAAGCCTTGTGCCAGCCCATGCGCTGTGACCTCTTCCCGGGGTGAGGAGGCCACATCGGGGCGCCGTGGCCCTCGTGGGTCCGCAGGGATGCCCTTGATGGTGTGTTCTTCCTCGCCCTTGGGAGGGAGAGGGTTAGGAGAAACTTGGAGTGAGCACGCGCAGTGCGTGTTCTCACAGTCAGATGAGCTGACCCTGTGTTTGACCAAGAAATAATCTGACCTACGCTAACGATGGCTTGGAAAGCCAAAGGAATTCAGGGATTGTTGTTGCAGATGGAGTGAGTTAGGATGAAACATGCTCCCTGAATCCATTTGGATGTGTTTTCTCTTATGCTACACATCTGGCGCTAACATTACTTACTCTTATTTCTTTAAACGTGGTCCTTGAAGTTTTGATTATTCGTGAATGTTGGAATTGACTGTTGTTTGGTCTGTTTTTGTTGTTGTTTGCTTCCCAACCTAAGCTGCCTGTGCAGCTTTCTCTTTAGTGCTGCTTGTGTTAGTGTGTCTGAGTATCTGCCCTCCCCCCTCCTTGCCCAAGAATGTATTGTGTTAACATGCAAATTAGAACCAGTGGGATGGTAATATGCAAACAAGCTACAGCTGTACCCCTAAGAATGGCTGTTGTCTTCTTCCTGTGTCATAATTTAACATTGCTGCAAGGAGATTAGTTCTTAGGGCACAAGCAGCAGCTTAGCAAGGAAACCGGCTCCATGCTTGTGGCCTGGGAAAGCAGGAGAACATGACTCAAGTCTTTCTGCCCCTGCACTGCTTTGGGGGACCTGGAGGGAGCTCCTGGCTCCTGGCTTCAGATTGGCTTGGCTCCGGCTGTTCTGGCCACTTCAAGAGTGAGCCCTCAGATGGAGAACCTTTCTCTCTATCTCTCCTTCTCTTTCTAAATCTGATCCACCTTTCCAATAAAAATAGGTAGAGCATAAAAACAAGACAAAACTTTAGGAGCAGATTTTATGTATTTCATAGATAATATTCCAAGAGCGTGAGCACATGCCTCTCTCAGTACATCTTTCCTTTAAACTTTTTTTTTTTTTTGGCAAAAATGCAATTTGAATTTATGTTATAATTTTAGGCTTAATGTATCACTACCCATAATATTCAACAAATCAAAGGAAGAAAGACCTTTTCCCATGGGCTGAAAAAAAACAGTCAAATAGTAATATGACAGTTTTATTCGTTCTTTTTTTATTTTTAAGATTCATTTATTTTTATTTGAAAGTTAGAGAGAGAGAGACTTTCCATCTGCTGGATCACTATCCCCGTTAGTGGAGCTGGCCCAGTCTGAAGCCAGGAGCCAGGACCTTTGCCTAGGTCTCCCATAAGGGGCCAAGCATTTGGCCACCCTCCGCTGCTCTCCCAGGCTGTACACAGGGAGCTGGAACATGAACTGGTACCATAGCCAGAGGCTTAACTTGCTATGCCATGGCACTGCCCGCCCCCTGTTTATTCTTATACTTTGAAAAACCCCAAATTGGAGACTTTTACCAAGGATGGCAGTAAGCCCAGGTAGAGTGGTCAGAATCATTAGGTTAGAGGCATGTGGAAACTGCCCGCCATCGTCCAGCAAGGATGGGCTCTGCAGGTTCACAGTGGGCAGTGACAGCCTTTTCCGGCCATCTCTGCTCTCAGGACCTCTGCCAGCATTGGAGTTTAGTTTCTCTAAACTAAGCACCAGTATCCACTGAGTACTTCCATTAACTAAGCATTGACAGAATATTATGCAACCAGCATCTTGTGACTGCACTGAGACTGAGCAAAGGAGTGTCAGCTCCCCTTTGGAAGGTCCAAATGTACCTCGATCCAGCCCTTTAAAGGAACCCCCTGTCTTCCCTTTTATGGTAAGCAGCCCTGGAGTTAGCGTTTGGAAAAGTAGCTGTTGCTTTTCTGTGCTTTTTTAAAAAATAGAGTTATGTGAAAGTTACAATGAGTACAGTTGTCAAAAAGTGATTCTGTTCTTCCTGTAGTCAGGAGTCCAGGGAAAGGAGGGCTCTCTTGCCCTGTGCAGGGGTGCCCTGAGCTGAGCTTGCACCACACCCTTCTTCTTGTTCCTGGATTCCCCAGGAGATCGTGTAGGGCAGCACTCCAGATCCACCCTTGGCTGTGTCCACTTGCCCACTGGCCTTCTTCCAGATGCTGGGGGGACAGGGGCAAAGGACAGGAGTGCCTTCTGCTAGGAGAGAGGTGATGGGCACAGTATTCTCCATCTGGACAGCTTCTTCTTGTGCCCCTCCGCAGGCTCCTTGGTCCTTCTGCAGCCCGCTGTCTTCCCTTTGTGTCCCTCCGCAGGGTCCTTGGTCCTTCTGCAGCCCGCTGTCTTCCCTCTGCAGGCTCCTTGGTCCTTCTGCAGCCCGCTGTCTTCCCTCCGCAGGCTCCTTGGTCCTTCTGCAGCCCGCTGTCTTCCCTCTGCAGGCTCCTTGGTCCTTCTGCAGCCCGCTGTCTTCCCTTTGTGTCCCTCCGCAGGCTCCTTGGTCCTTCTGCAGCCCGCTGTCTTCCCTCCGCAGGGTCCTTTGGTCCTTCTGCAGCCCGCTGTCTTCCCTCTGCAGGCTCCTTGGTCCTTCTGCAGCCCACTGTCTTCCCTTTCACCAGTGAGCCTGCTCCATTGCTTGTCCTTAGCCACCACATGCGTAGGATCATTCCATCCGGGACTGCGCAGCCCCACGAGGCTTAACCTCCTTGGTGCCTGGCTTCTTTGGACACATCTTTCATTGTGTTGCAGTACTGAACACTCTTACTGTCCTTCCAGACATTTCAGCAGCATTGTGAGAAGTTGAGGACATCCCTGGTTTTGAAATACTCTCTTTGATCACTTTGCAGGCCTTCTCTGCTGTACCAACATCGCTGCCCTTCCTGCCTTCCTTATCCGTGACTGTCAAATACTGCAGCCTCAGGTCCCTCTCAGAGCCTGTGCTCCCTTGCTGTGCCTCCCTCATGTTGGTGGAAAGGCTGATGCAATGGTCACAGACCGGGAGCCTAGAATGGTTACGGGGTGTGTGTTAAACACTAGGAAGATTTTTGAATTGACTCACTGGGTTAGCAAGGTCAGCCACCTGACAAAATGGCAGCATTTGTTAAAGCTATGGTCTGTGATCCCAAACTGCAGATGGCTAGCTCTGACAGAACGCGGTGCAGTACTTACATGTCACCTGCACATATCCTTCTGAAAACCTTAAATCATCTCTATGTTACAGTAAAGTACTGTGGTCCTTATGATGTTTCATTTATTTTTAATTTAATTATTTAAAAGGCAGAATGAGAGAGGTCTTCACTCTCCAAGTGGTCATGAGAGACAGGGCTGGGCAGGGTAAAGCAAGAAGCCTGGCGTCCCATCTGCATCTTTCCTGTGGGTGGTAGGGCCCAGACACTTGGGCCATCTTCTCTTGCTTACCCAGGAATGTTAGTAGGAAGCTGGATTGGAAGTGGAGCATCTAGGAATTGAACTGGCCTTCCTGTGGAGTTCCAGTATGGTGGGCAGTGGCTTGAACTGTTGCCCCACAGTGCAGTCTCCAGGGTGTATTCCTGCTGGTCACCACAGGGCTCTTGGTGTAAATTTTCCCATAGGTTGGGTGAACTCTCTGGTGTGGAACCATGGATAGCAAGACCAACAGTACACCAAAGTGTAGCCGCCATTCAAGCCTCATGGTGACAATGTGTTCCCCCATAAGAGGACACCAGATGTAAGCCAGAGCTGTGGGGTAGGCACTCCTTACAGAGCACTTTATTTTTCTTTAAAAATTTATTTACTTTTTGTTGAGAAGGCAGATTTACAGAGAGAAAGAAATATTTTCCATTTATTAATTCACTCCCCAAATGGCCGCAAAAGCCAGAGGTGAGTTGACCTGAAGCCAGGAGCATTTTGGGGTCTCCCATGCAGATACAGGGTACCCAGGCTTTAGGTAATCTGTTTTCCTGGGCCACAAGCAGGGAGTTGGATGGAAAGTGGGTCAGTCAGGACACAAACTGGTGTCCATCTAGGGTACCAGTGCTTGCAGGTTAAGGCTTAGCAAGTTGAGCCATCACAGCAGCCCCTTAACAGAACACTTTGAGATGCTCTATTCTGACCCATCACTGCAGATCATCGCTTCTGGTAGGTGGTCCACTGCACTATAGTAGTTTCCTGTGATTGTGGTCACAAACGGCTACAAATTAAAGCAGTGTATATGGATTACCTTTTGTTTGTGAAGGGCTTCTGTCAAGTGCCACGCGGGCTCTGTTCTGTCTCATGCTTTGAGAGGCCGCCCCATTGCTGGGTGCTTCCACCTCCATCAGCTCATCTGTCCTCCAGCTTTCTGCCTCCATCATTGACGTGGAGGAGCCCACCTGATGGCGTTGAGCCTTGAGCCTTCCAGGCTGTCCTCCTTGCAGGTTGTTCCACTCAGTCCCATTCATGAAGTCGCTCACTGTGTAAGGGTCCAGCGTTTCAGATGTGATCCCCTTTGGGGGACACTGTTTGCCCACTCCCATACATAGGAATCAATCCCATTGGATTTGTGTCACATGGTTCATTGTGGGGGCAGGATAACGGGTTCTAACACGGTGTAGTTCTGTGGGGAGAAGCTTTGCACAGGGAAAAGGGCCATGTGAGCACAGAGTGTCAACGTGCTGGGAGAAGCTGGGACGGTGGGGGGGGGGGCGGGGGCAGACCCTTCCTCCTTAGCCTGGCCTGCGCCTGGAGTTTGGGCATGCGGCCTTTGCAGCTAGCCTTGTCTATCACAAAACGAGAAGGAAGGCAGCTTAGAGAAACCACAGAAGAAGCAAAGGAGGTGCTGGCTCGGGAGCCCCCACTGCGGCCCACGGCTGCCGCTTGCTGGGACGGGCCAGTGCTGGAGCAGCCCAAGTAGCTGGACCCCCAGACACAGCCTGCCTCTGGGGGGTTCCTGGGAGCGGAAGATGTGTGTGGAGAACCTCAGTCAGTCATGCTAATGCAGTGATTTTAAATAATAAGGGGCAGCTTCACAATGTACTATCATCATTTCTTGTTTACTGA